CTCTCATGATATTATTCATATTTAATTAATCTCTGCCATCAATTAACTGTAAGAAGGTTATAGGACCGAAGCATTCATGAGCCTTAATCTATCTAAGAATCCATATTGGACCATCAATTAATTCTCAAATACAGAGGTTATGGGATGAATCAGGAATATTCAACATACAGTGGGCCAACAGAACATGATTTCATATGTGGCAATATGAACAACTTTATGCATACACAAATTAATGTTTTTGTTGATCAAGCTTTTCATCTTAATATCATAATTGTAAAGCGAAGCATTATTCAGAGTCCCAAACATAATTACCATAATGTAAACACAAACTCATGTACCTTCAGATATTAATTTCCCGAAATATCATCACACAGTATATGACAAATAAATCATCATCATAATGTTCACATATGCGGCCGATGCGAATCTCACGAAAAAACAATTAGAACAATTTTAATTCATGTGCGGCAATAAGACCATAAACTTTAAGCGGCAAAATAATCATGCATAAACACATGCTCTGATACCACATGTAAGAATTTAACGGGTATATCCATAACAATTATGCGGAATTGAATAAACCCTAAGCATGTAATTCTATCAATTCATAGAACATGGATCTTTTGCATAAATTAAATTGCACATAGAGACTTACAAGAATCCATTATAGTCCTTCCCTGTTCTTCTTGTATGTCTGGCCGATCGTGCGTTGCTTCCCCTCTCCCGCGTTCGTGTGTTGCTTTCTCTCTCCCTCGTCTCTCGTCCTTTCACAAAGCCCTTGATGTTGAGAACTTTATTTCGTATGAGATGGGAGAGAGGGTTATGTAGTATATATAGGAGGAGGAGACTTAGAGTCCTAATCATACTACCATTCCCCATGTTCTAAGGTGACTTAATGTCCAAGTTAAACATCACACATTGGACTCTTTTATATTAGAACATTAAATAATCTATTAAATACATATTCATCTTTAATAAAGTTTGACTATTAATTCAATTAGGTCCAACTAATTATATGGTCCACAATAATAGAATAATAAAATATTATTACAGTAGCAGCAAAAAAATGAGATCCGATCTACCCTTGAGTCTATTTCAGACCCAAGTAGAGACCTAGTCTCTTTGCATTGGAGTTAATTTCATTACTTCTCAATATTTTTGATAAGCAAAATGAGACCAAAAACATTGTACATGCTCTTAAGGGCGAATTTACGAATTCATTGCAACGATTAGTAGCAAGATAATTGGTT